AAAGAATACCTTAAAAGAAAGAAAGAAAGACAAATTATTATTATTTTAAGTGTAAAATTTAATTTGTGTGGAATGTACATGCAGTCTTACCCATCTGAGCACAATGTTATCCATGAATATTGTACTTGAGTAGCCTACTTGTAGTTACATTCCTCCACTGCACACATTGTTCAATATGAAGCAGCTCCACTGAAACCACCTAGCGGTATCAAATCCTAGTTCACCTCCAGCTGCTGTGCTGCAATATTAAATCACCTCCTGCATGTCATCATCTTACAATCTGAAATGAACCTTTTCTTTAACACCATTTTGTCACCCATGCTCCTTGGGGCACGTATCATTGCATTCATTGTTTGGGCTGATCCACTGACAGCACCATGTAGTTCCTGTAGATCGTGCAAAAGTACAGCTTCTGCCTGTTTTGGCCTCCTCACGTGTGGACTAAAGATTTGCTGTTATGTCTGAATTTTTTCCACAGGTGTTGTATTAATATGGCGTCTGTCACCTGTATGGGTTCTTACATGAGATTTCAATTCTGTTGTCCGACAGCATCTTTTCCTGCAGGTGCTGCGAGAATGTGGCTTCTCACCTGTGTGGATTCTCATGTGGACATTCAAGTCAGTCTTACGTCCAAAATCTTTCCCACATGTCTTGCAAGAGTACGGCCTCTCTCCTGTGTGAATTCTGGTGTGCTCTATAAAGTTACCTCTTGTTCTGAAATCTTTTCCACATGTTTTGCAACAATACGGCTTCTCTCCTGAGTGTGTTCTCCTATGATTGTTCAATATTGATTTCTGATTGAATTTTTTCCCACAGATGTTGCAAGAATATGGCTTCTCTCCTGTGTGAGTTCTCATGTGGACAGTCAAGGGACTGCTAAATGCAAATTCTTTCCCACATATCTTGCAAATAAATGGCTTCTCACCTGTGTGTGTTCTTCTATGAGCGTTCAATCCTGATGTCTGAGTGAATTTTTTCCCGCAAATGTTGCAAGAATATGGCTTCTCACCTGTGTGTGCTCTCAGGTGTCTCTGAAAAAGTGACCTACATGTGAAAGCTTTCCCACATGTGTCACATTTGAAAGACTTTTTACCTGTGTGAGTATTATAGTGAATTGTTGATATAGTAGGGTTATATAAGTTGTTAATGTGACTGTTGCTGTTGTTATTTGGTTCTGTTTGCTCTGCATTTCTAGTTGAACCTGAGTCTCCATGCTTGTCTCCTTTCTGATCTTGGCTCTCAGCTTCATGAGAGAGGAGCTGGTGGTCACTGTCAGGTTCTGGGACCACATAGCTTTTATCTGAAATGTACTGTAGAGGCATTTCCTCCACCATATTCTGAGTTTCAGTGATACTCCAGTTCACAGTCTGATCTTCACTGTGCTCACTTTCCTCATTAATAGGAGTCAACATAAAGTCATCAGTCTCCTGCTTCACTTCAAGCTGCTCTCCCTCCTGACTGCTGCACAGTTCCTCCTCTTCCTCTTTAATCTCTGGAGGCTCTGGCTCCTCTTGCTCCACACTGGAGTTCCTCTCTTCAATACAGAGCTGCTGCTCAGCGACAACCTCCTCCTCCTTACAGACATGTTGCTGTGGGAGCTCTGGAGGAACTATTCATCAAAATGAATAGGATACTATTAAATTAGTAAAGAAGAAAATGCAGACATGCAAGTTAATTATTAGTATATACACTCAATGGCCACTTAATTAGGTACACCTGTTTAACTGCTTGTTGACACAAATAGCTAACAGGCAATCGTGTGGCAGCAACTCAATGGGTCTCATTCATGAAACGTGAGCAGAAGGAATTTGTGTGTAAACTGTTCGCAGACGGAAATTTACGTGCATGTCCGCATTCATCAATATTTTAGTAGCTCCGATCTTTTCGTAGCTACTAACAAAATCTACTCCTGCTCCTGACCACTCGTAGCGCTTGTGTAAATTTAGTAAAGCACATAAATATTGCTTGTCACTATTGGAAATTACAATTTTAATTTGTATTGCTCTGTTATGTACACAATACACAGATGCCTTTGAAACACGTTATCTAAACATGACAAAATATTAAAAATATAACACATTTAGTTAAATTAGTTGGCAATTAGCAGGTTTAAGATCCAGATTAGGTTCATGATTGTGAATTATCTATGTAAATCGACTCAATAGATTGCACGTTCTTTCTACATGTTGAATGATGATAATAAAAATATCCTTAAGGACAGCCGGATCACAGCCTCTTTGGCCTCGGTGCCCGGGTTCAGCAGGAGCAGCAGGAGCAGCTGAAAGAATTATTTGAGACAACATGTGTTTTTTTGTGGCTTTTTGATCATTTGAATGAATAAATCTGATTTGAAAATGTTTAATTTACGTTGTATAAACCAGAGCTTTAGGCTATTAAGATTCAAGTAATTTGAAGACGATGCATACAAACTGCTGTAGGCTATATGTTATCCGTATCATTTGTTAAAATAAATGTTAAATAGCTCTACATTCCGACAGCCTTCACTGATTTAGAGTTTATCCATTACGCACAAAACATCTCTGGTTTCCCGTTCCCACTTCATTCAAACCCCACAAATGAATCTTCTGTTTGTTTGGTGACCACTACGCTATCAATGATGATTTTCAGAATGTATTAGGCTTGTCGTTGTCTCCGTCAGGAATAATTCCCGACAGAGAGGTCTCCCCAATTATGCCAGCGATGCGCTCGTCTGCAGCAGATAGTTGGCACTGTGAGCCTCCTCCACCTGTGGCTGCTGTATTTTTTTTGTGCGTGCTTATGCGTTTCTTTGCCTCCAGTTTCATATCAAACCATTTAGCTTCACCTCTGACATGGTTCTTTGTACTACGGAGACAACATTAACAGCATGTGTTACCTCCCTCCAGGCCTTCTCTTTGCCTGTCCCTGTCACACCACTACTAACTGAAGAAAATGTTTTTTCTTAAGTCCACTTCACACAAAATTATTTCGATCTCTGCTTCGGAAAAATTCTTTTTTCTTTCTCTGTCTTTCTTTCTTTGCGCCATGACTGAAAGGTCGACCGGATGCACCTACACCTCCTTATATGGTGGTCATTGGATATTCATGGGCGGGGATTTATGCTAATTGCTGATTACCGGGAGTGCGCTGTCACTTTACGATGGATTGGCATTTGTGATCATACACACGTGTTTACGATCAAATCTGAGTTTTCCGCAGCGTTCCTGAATCCGGAGTAGGTTTTTAGTAGAGTAGGCTTTTATGTGCAAATCTACACACAGATTTACTCACTTTTCATGAATGAGACCCATTGCATTTAGGCATGCAGACATGGTCAAGACGACCTGCTGAAGTTCAAACTGAGCATCAAAATGGGGATGAAATATGACTTGAGTGACTTTGAACGTGGCATGGTTGTTGGTGCCAGACGGGCTGGTCTGAGCATTTCAGACACTGCTGACCTATCAGGATTTTCATGCACAACCATCTCTAGGGTTTCATTGAGCAGCAGTTCTCTGGGTCAAAATGCCTTGTTGATGCCAGAGGTCAGAGGAGAATGGCCAGACTGGCTCAAGATGATAGAAAGGCAACAGTAACTCAAATAACCACTGGTTACAACCAAGGTCTGCAGAAGACCATCTCTGAACCAACAACACGTCCAACCTTGAAGCAGATGGGCTACAGCAGCAGAAGACCACACCAGGTGCCACTCCTGTCAGCTAACAACAGGAAACTGAGGCTACAATTCACACAGGCTCACCAAAACTGGACAATAGAAGATTGGAAAAACGTTGCCTGGTCTGATGAGTCTGGATTTCTGCTGCCACATTCAGATGGTAGGGTCAGAATTTGGTGTAAACAACATGAAAGCATGGATCCATCCTGCCTTGTATCAACGGTTCAGGCTGCTGCTGGTGGTGTAATGGTGTGGGGGAGATTTTCTTGGCACACTTTGGGCCCCTTAGTACCAACTGAGCATGGTTTAAACACCACAGCCTACCTGAGTATTGTTGCTGACCGTGTCCATCCCTTTATGACCACAGTGTACCCATCTTCTGATGGCTACTTCCAGCAGGATAACACACCATGTCACAAAGCTCAAATCATCTCAAACTGGTTTCTTGAACATGACAATGAGTTCACTGTACTCCAGTGGCCTCCACAGTCACCAGATCTCAGTCCAATAGAGCACCTTTGGGATGTGCTGGAACGGGAGATTCACATCATGGATGTGCAGCCGACAAATCTGCAGCAACTGTGTGATGCTATCATGTCAACATGGACCAAAATCTCTGAGGAATGTTTCCAGCACCTTGTTGAATCTATGACACCAAGAATTAAGGCAGTTCTGAAGGTAAAATGGGTCCAACACGGTACTATCAAGATGTACCTAATAAAGTGGCCAGTGAATGTATATCAACATCTGTGATTATATGATATTCAATTTCTCTGATTTGTGCTATTTAAATAAATAGGGTTTTACATACCTATCCTGTGTAACTTTATTTCAGGTTTCCAAGTTATATCCAACAGTCTGCGCTGACGGTCGATCTCTTCTTCGTACTCGACGATAGTTTTCTCTATAACTCCGAATATTTCTTCAGCAGCAGCAGTTAGTCTCTCGTTGATAAACCCTCTCAAATACTGAACTGAAGACATTGTTGCTAAACTATAACATGAATAATTACCTGCGTTATGACCTAATAACCTTCTTCCAGCTAACTAAATACATCCACATAGCTAACGCTGCTAACGCTTCGTTTGTTTACTTCTGCTGGATGTCACACTGTTTTGAGTTCCGACACCGAAAGTAAGTTAACCTTTCGTTCCGTTTCACTTGATGTTGTACGTTGAACGTCTCCCTTCTTTTCACATGGAAATAAAGTTATTTTCTCAATACTTCTACATTTAATGTGTTTTTAGTCATTTCATAGAAATTACATTAGATAAAAACATATCAGCAGCTATGAAAGGACTGAACACAGGTAAGCAACAACAGTTTTAAATACCCATGCATTCAAATTAATTAACGTGTCAAATGATTGTGTTAAAAATGTGATTTTATAATATGAAACGTGAATGCAAAATAGTCCTTGTCAGTGTTACTGAGGCCATAATGTGTACATGGCACTGTGTAGCAGCTTGCTGACATGAAACAATCTTATTTGTTGTTATTTTTATTTGTTAAGTAGACATATTAATGTAGTGTCAAAAGGCATCATGACTAATAGGCGCATTCTAGGTTTTTGAGTGTAAAAACATAGCCTCCCATAGCTAGACCTATTTCCACATTTAGTTTTAGTGCTGTGTAATAACAATCTCAAAGTAACCATAGCTGTCAAGTCAGTGCAATGCTCTAAAAAGCACATTTGACATTAAAAATGAAGTAATAAGAACTATATATGACAGGAAAAAATAGGCAAAGAATACCTTAAAAGAAAGAAAGAAAGACAAATTATTATTATTTTAAGTGTAAAATTTTATTTGTGTGGAATGTACATGCAGACTTACCCATCTGAGCACAATGTTATCCATGAATATTGTACTTGAGTAGCCTACTTGTAGTTACATTCCTCCACTGCACACATTGTTCAATATGAAGTAGCTCCACTGAAACCACCTAGCGGTATCAAATCTTAGTTAACCTCCAGCTGCTGTGCTGCAATATTAAATCACCTCCTGCATGTCATCATCTTACAATTTGAAATGAACCTTTTCTTTAACACCATTTTGTCACCCATGCTCCTTGGGGCACGTATCATTGCATTCATTGTTTGGGCTGATCCACTGACAGCACCATGTAGTTCCTGTAGATCGTGCAAAAGTACAGCTTCTGCCTGTTTTGGCCTCCTCATGTGTGGACTAAAGATTTGCTGTTATGTCTGAATTTTTTCCACAGGTGTTGCATTAATATGGTGTCTGTCACCTGTATGGGTTCTTGCATGAGATTTCAATTCTGTTGTCCGACAGCTTCTTTTCCTGCGGGTGCTGCAAGAATGTGGCTTCTCACCTGTGTGGATTCTCATGTGGACATTCAAGTCATAGTTACATCCAAAATTTTTCCCACGTCTTGCAACAGTACGGCCTCTCTCCTGTGTGAATTCTGGTGTGGTCTATCAAGTTACCTCTTGCTCTGAAATCTTTTCCACACATTTTGCAACAATACAGCCTCTCTCCTGTGTGTGTTCTCATATGAACGTTCAATCCTGATGTCTGAGTGAATTTTTTCCCACAGATGTTGCAAGAATACGGCTTCTCACCTGTGTGTGTTCTCATGAGGACAGGCAAGTCACTCTCACGTTGAAAATATTTACCACAGATGTTGCAAGGATATGGCCTCTCACCTGTGTGTGCTCTCAGGTGTTTCTGCAAAACTGACCTACGTGTGAAAGCTTTCCCACGTGTCACATTTGAAAGACTTCTTACCTGTGTCAGTATTATAGTGACTGTGGAACACCCTCCCAGAACACCTGAGGGTTCCACAGTCAATTGATTGTTTTAAAAAGGGCCTTAAAACGTACCTTTTTAAAAAATCTTTTAATCTGTAATTTTTGCTCGTGTTACTTTGATAACTGCTTTTAACACTTGTTTTAACTTATTTTTTGTTTTCTTGCTGTTGTAGCACTTTGAGATTTTTCACTAAATATCAAGTGCGTTACAAATAAAATTTATTATTATTATTATTTTTATTATTATTATTAATTGTTGATATAGTAGGGTTATATAACTTGTTAATGTGACTTTTGCTGTTGTGATCCGGTTCTGTTTGCTCTGCATTTCTAGTTGAACCTGAGTCTCCATGCTTGTCTCCTTTCTGATCTTGGCTCTCAGCTTCATGAGAGAGGAGCTGGTGGTCACGGCCTGGTTCTGGGACCACAAAGCTTTTAACTAAAATGTAGTCAAGAGGGGTTTCCTCCACCACCATATTTGGAGTTTCCTGCTTCACTTCAAGCTGCTCTCCCTCCTGACTGCTGCACAGTTCCTCCTCTTCCTCTCTAATCTCTGGAGGCTCTGGCTCCTCTTGATCCACACTGGAGTTCCTCCCCTGAACACTGAGCTGCTGCTCAGCGACAACCTCCTTCTCCTTACAGACATGTTGCTGTGGGAGCTCTGGAGGGACACACGACAAAAGTACCACACTACTACATACGAGCAAATTAAAACCAGTAAATATTTCAACACTTGTGATTATGTGAACGTTACATTTCTGTTTTGTGGTATTTAAATAAATAGGGTTTTACATACCTATCTTGTAAAACCTTACTTCCGTTTTCCAAGCTACATCCAACAGTCTGCGCTGACGGTCGATCTCTTCTTCGTAGTCGACGACCATTTTCTCAAAAACTCCGAATATTTTTTCAGCAGCAGCAGTTAGTCTCTCGTTGATAAACTCTCAAATACTTAACTGAAGACATTATTGCTAATCTCTAAGTTAAAAAATTATCCGCGGTACAATTAAAATATCTTCTTCCAGCTAACTCAATACATCCACAGAGCTAACGCTGCTAATGGCTGTTTTGTGCACTTTCGCTGGACGTTACACTCTAAAGTTCCGGCAGCGAGAGTGAGTTAACTCTTTCTTCCGCTTTCACCAATGGTTGTACAGCTTCATTTCAGCTTCATTTTACACACAGTGAAATTTGCTTATTTTTCTACACAGTTACATTTGACTGACACGTTTTCATAGTATTTCACATGAATGATTTTGAATAAAATATATTAGCAAGGGCAAAAGGCATTATTGTAGCAGCTAATCGTGGTGGAGCGATTTAGTTTTTTTACTTTGTCCATGTACCGATGGTGAGTTTAACAAGGCATCATATTTAATTCAGCTCATTGTGAGTTTTTTTGAGGTAAAATCTATTCTTGCCAGATCTATCTCCACGTTTTAGCGTTATGCAGTAAAAATCCTAATCAACAAAATAACCATAGCTGTCAAGTAAAGGTAATGCCCCCAAAAAGTACATTTGCCTTTATAAGTGCGGTAAAGCAGAACTATGAGTAACATAAAGGTAATCAAAGAATACCTCAACTTAAAAGGGAACCCCATTAAATTAAGAATGCCAGTATTATATTTCCATGACCTTGGAGAGTTCAATATCCTCCTCAGACCCGATCTTTCCTTTGGTATGCATTTTAAATTTCTCCTTGCTATTTGGGATCAGCAGGACCTGCTAAGTATAAAAAAACTAAACATTGCCAATGATAATTAGTACCCAATGTCCTCAAAGGAGACAATAATAAAGTCCCAATGTCCTCAAACGAGTACTTCCTAATTATCAGTGTCTTAGCTTGTTACTGCTGCTAAAATTGGTCAAATTTGTTGCCATATCAAACTACAAACATTATTAATCTTAAATAATCAAGTTTCAACCATAAAATGTGATCAGGTTTTGGACCTTTTCTGCTTTTGTTTCGGAGTCGGCTGCAGACTGAGTTGACAGAGATAGCTGACATCTTTTTTTTACATGGATTAGTGTATTGTGCTCTTACTACCACAAGATGGCACAAAAAAGTGTCCACGAACGAGGACAACAGGTCTATGTTAAAGAGAATTAAGGACAAAAATGTGATATCCTCATATGAGAACACAGGGTCTCAGGAGGTGAAATCTGCGTACATGAGCTCCTCTCTTTCGAAGCCAGAAACCAGAGAGGGAAGTCTCAAACTTGTGATGTCATATGGTATAAAGTCTGGAGCTGCTCCATAGACAATGACTGAGAGCCTGATTTAATGGACCCACACAATGTTTTTGTTGGATTTTTTGTTGTAGTGTTCTCAGATCTGAAACAGAAAATGTCCCCATATACTCAGATCATTCCTCTGGGTGCTCTCAGTGCCATCTTTAAACTTTCCCAATTCATTGTCAGTAGAGCAACTCCAAACTTTATACCCAGTGACATCACAAATAAAAATTTAGCCCTATAGTTTTTGGATTTGGGAGAGAGTTGTTCGTGTTCGCAAATATTTTTTGGACTGTTTTGAACCATAGCAATAACATCTACGGACAATCAATATTGTCCATAAATACAGTACTTCAGTAGTGCACATGTTGTTACATTGCTGCACTGCACATTTATTTAATGAGATAGCTCAACTGCTACCAAACAGTATAAAATCATACTTTATGTCACCTTCCAGCCGGTCAGCTGGAGCTTTAAATACCATGAAAAGAACTACTCTTACTATGACTACTTAACTTTTGAAGTAAGTCACACCCAGCTGCAGCCTTGACCAACAGAACCTCCATATAAAGTTTTAGACTTCGGGGTGAATCTGATATTCTCAAATCATCATCTTACAAAGCTTTATTGTTTGAACATACATGAGATCAGACACCAGTATTTAGGTGGCAACATCCTTTGATCATTGTATTCATTATGCAGGCTGAATTGCTGACACCACTTGTAGTACATCATCTACAGTATTTGTGTGTGTGTCACCACTCAAACCTGAAAGAACAACAGTTACAGCAGGATGATGCACATATAAAATACATGCAACTGTAAACTTAAGAGACATTCTGCTGACAGCAAAGAACTGACTCTAGTTGTCAGGATGAATACTTAAGTGCTGTGGAATCTCTTTTGGACTATGACGTAACCTCTTCCGCAGGTGTTGTGAGAGCAGGACTCCTGTCAGCTGTATGGATTCTTACATGAGACTTCAAAAGTGAAATCCGACAAAACCTTTTCCCGCAGGTGTTGCAAGAATGTGGTTTCACCCCTGTGTGGGTATTCATGTGGCTCAACAAGTGACTTCTAAGTCTGAAAGCTCTCCCGCATGTTTTGCATATAAACGGCTTCTCTCCAGTGTGGGTTCTCATGTGGCCTTTTAAGTGACTTGCATGTCTGAAAGCTGCCCCGCATGTTTTGCAAAAATATGGCTTCTCACCTGTGTGGATTCTCACGTGGACGTTCAAGTCATTCTTACGTACAAAATCTTTCCCACATGTTTTGCAAGAGTACGGCTTCTCTCCTGAGTGAATTCTGGTGTGCTTCATCAAGTTACCTCTTGCTCTGAAATCTTTTCCACACGTTTCGCAAGAAAACGGCCTCTCATCTGTGTGTGTTCTTACATGAACGTTCAATGCTGACGCCTGAGTGAATTTTTTCCCACAGATGTTGCAAAGATATGGCCTCTCACCTGTATGTGTTCTCATGTGGCTCTTCAAAGCTGACCTACTTGTGCATACTCTACCACACGTGTCACATTTGAAAGACTCTTTACCTGTGTGGGTATTACTGTGAACTACTGACATAGTACGGTTGGATTCATTCTTAGTGTGACTGTTGCTGTTGTGATTAGGTTGCGTTTGTTCTGCATTTCTAGTTGAGCCTGAGTCTCCATGCTTGTCTCCTTTCTGATCTTTGCTCTCAGCTTTATGAGAGAGGAGCTGGTGGTCACTGTATGGTTCTGGGACCACAGTGTGTTTAACTATAATGTAGTCAAGAGGCATTTCCTTCACCATATTTTGAGTTTCACTGATACTCCAGTTCACAGTCTGATCTTCACTGTGCTCACTTTCCTTATTAGTAGGAGTCAACATAAAGCCATCAGTCTCCTGCTTCACTTCAAGCTGCTCTCCCTCCTGACTGCTGCACAGTTCCTCCTCTTCCTCTTTAATCTCTGGAGGCTTTGGCTCCTCTTGGTCCACACTGGAGTTTCTCTCCTCAAAACAGAGCTGCTGCTCAGCGACAACCTCCTCCTCCTTACAGACATGTTGCTGTGGGAGCTCTGGAGGGACACACAACAAAAGTACCATACGACTACATGCGAGCAAATTAAACCCAGTAAATACTTAAACACTTGTGATTATATGACCGTTAAATTTCTCTGTTTCTCTCTTTTGTGGTATTTAAATAAATAGGGTTTTACATACCTATCCTGTGTAACTTTATTTTAGGTTTCCAAGCTATATCCAACAGTCTGCGCTGACGGTCGATCTCTTCTTCGTACTCGACGACCATTTTCTCAACAACTCCGAATATTTCATCAGCAGTAGCAGTTAGTCTCTCGCTGATAAACCCTCTCAAATACTTAAGTGAAGGCATTGTTGCTAAATTGTAAGTTTAATAATTATCTGCGGTACAATTAAAATATCTTCTTCCAGCTAACTCAGTACATCCACAGAGCTAACGCTGTCAACAGCTGTTTTACTTCCGCTCGACGTTACACTCTAAAGTTCCGGCAGCGGAAGTGAATGAAGTCTTCGTTCCGCTTCCACAAAGGGTCTCGCTTTATTTCACACAGTGAAATAGGGTTAGTTTTTCCGCACAGTCATATTTAACTAATATGTTTTGAAGCATTTCTCATAAATTGTTTCAAACGAAAACAAATTAGCAAGGTCGAAAATAAACGTGCGGTCAAATATGGTTTAAAGTTTGAAATGTTAAAGTACTCATGCACAAATGGTCCCTGACAGTGTCACTGACTTGTAGCGGCTATTCAGGGTGGAATTATTCCATTTTTTATTTGGTTCCAATACTGATGAATACATTCACAAGGCATCATATTTAATTTAGCTACTTGTAAGTTTTTGTAGGTAAAATCTATTCTTGCCACATCGTTTTAGTGCCGTGCAGTTAAAATCTTAATTAGCAAAGGGACTGTAGTTGTCAAGTAAATGTAATGTAAAATCATACTTTATGTCACCCTCCAGCCGGTCAGCTGGAGCTTTAAATACCATGAAAAGAACTACTCTTACTATGACTACTTGACTTTTGAAGTGAGTCACACCCAGCTGCAGCCTTAACCAACAGAACCTGCGTATATAGTTTTAGACTTCAGGGTGAATCTGATATTCTCAAATCATCATCTTACAAAGCTTTATTGTTTGATATACATGAGATCAGACACCAGTATTTAGGTGGCAACATCCTTTGATCATTGTATTCATTATGTAGGCTGAATTGCTGACACCACTTGTAGTACATCATCTACAATATTTGTGTGTGTGTGTGTGTGTGTGTGTGTGTGTCACCACTCAAACCTGAAAGAACAATTACAGCAATTTGATGCACATATAAAATACATAAAAATGTAAACTTAAGTGACATTTTGCAGACAGCAAAGAAATGACTGGCTCTCATACAGAGAGGGTTTCTCATCCTCAACAAGAAAGTTCACAGTCCACTCCTATAACTAAGGAGGTGTATAAAAATTCTTCAAAAAATAATAATTCCCAGTCAAACATTTATAACAATCATGCACTCACTGTACAACCAAGACGTTTCAATAAACTTGGGAGATTATAATTGTTTTAAAGAAATACAGTTGCCAAGAGAAATATAAGTGCAGTGATATGAAAGATAAAATAAGATCAGATCGACACAACGTGATGTCACTGATTATGATGTTCTACTTTAACATACTGTGACTTCCTTTCAATAGGAAATTATATACAATCAGTGAGACATGTAGCTATTGCAGAAGTGGATTACATTCAATGAGTGAACACATCTTCATGGGGGTTTCTCCTGTGTATATCGGTTCTCAGGTGTTTTTCTTCAAGTAAGCTCTCCCACCTTTTGCATGTAAGCAGCATCTCTCCTGTGTGGGTTCTCATGTGGCTTATAAGGTCACGATTACATCCGTAACCTCTTCTGCATGTGTTGCAAGAACAGGGCTCCTGTCATCTGTATGGATTCTCAAATGAGACTTCAATAGTGACATCCGACAAAAGCTTTTCCCACAGGTGTTGCAAGTATGTGGCTTCTCCCCAGTGTGGGTATTCATGTGGCTCATCAAGTGACTTCTAAGTCTGAAAGCTCTCCCACATGTTTTGCATATAAACGGCTTCTCACCTGTGTGGGTTCTCATGTGGCCTATTAGGTGGCTACTATGTCTGAAAGCTGCCCCACATGTTTTGCAAGGATACGGCTTCTCACCTGTGTGGTTTCTCATGTGGACAGTCAAGTGACTTTTGAGTGTGAAAGCTGCCCCACAGGTTTTGCATATAAACGGCTTCTCACCTGTGTGGGTTCTCATGTGGCCTATTAGGTGGCTACTATGTCTGAAAGCTGCCCCACATGTTTTGCAAAGATACGGCTTCTCTCCTGTGTGAGTTCTCATGTGGCCTATCAAGTGACCGATAAGTCTGAAAGCTCTGCCACATGTTTTGCACGTGAACGGCTTCTCGCCTGTGTGGATTCTCATGTGGACAGTCAAGTCACTGTTACGTCCAAAATCTTTCCCACATGTTTGGCAAGAGTACGGCCTCTCACCTGTGTGTGTTCTTATGTGAGCCTTCAATACTGACGCCTTAGTGAATCCTTTCCCACAGGTGTTGCAAGGATATGGCTTCTCACCTGTGTGCATTCTCATGTGGACTATCAAGTCACTATTATGTCCAAAATCTTTCCCACATGTTTGGCAAGAATATGGCCTCTCACCTGTGTGAGTTATCAGGTGTCTCTTCAAAGCTGACTTACAGTTTAAAGCTTTCCCACATGTGTCACATTTGAAAGACATTTTACCTGTCTGAGTATTACAGTAAACTGTTGACATAGCAGGGTTAGATACATTATTAGTGTGACTGCTATTGTTGTGATGTTGATTCGGTTGTGTTTGCTCTGCATTTCTAGTCGAACCTGAGTCTCCGTGCTTGCTGTCTACCTGAACTTGGCTCTCAGCTGCATGAGAGTTGTGAGAGAGGAGCTGGTGATCACTGTTTGGTTCCGAAACCACAGAGCGTTTAACTAAAATGTAGTTTATAAAGTTTTCCTCCACCGCATTTTGAGTTTCATCAATAATCAAGTTCAAACTCTGATCCTCACTGTGGTCACTATCCTCATAAGTAGGAGTCAACATAAAGTCATCAGTCTCCTGCTTCACTTCAAGCTGCTCTCCCTCCTGACTGCTGCACAGTTCCTCCTCTTCCTCTTTAATCTATGGAGGCTATGGCTCCTCTTGATCCACACTGGAGTTCCTCTCATAAAAACAGAGCTGCTGCTCAGCGACAACCTCCTCCTCCTTACAGACATGTTGCTGTGGGAGCTCTGGAAAAGAAGACAATGCAGACATACGGACAAATTATTACCAGCAAGTATATCTAAACAGCTATGATTATATGTCAGTCAAATTTCCCTCTTCTGTGTTATTAAAATAAATAGGTTTACTATTTAAACTAGAGACCCTATATTTGGAGGTTACCTCTCAGGGGAGATATATATTTCAGATCGTAAGTGCAGCCTGCAGGAATGCCATTACAAGAAAGTGGCTAAAACCAGCAACACCTACAGCTGTTATTGGAATGACGTTATGTGTTATATCTCTAGGATGGAAAGGATTACTTCTTCTATGAGATTGACACAGGACATGTTTTTTGAAATGATGGGAAAGCTGGATGGTGTATATTACACCTATTCGTTCTTCATTTATTGGTTTATCTATGTTCATACCTGTATTTACGTTTACTTTATTAGTCCATTTTGGCTTCTGTGTGATGTACTGTCACTCACTTTTATGCTACCTTCTGCTGTAACTGTCTTTTACAGGACGCCTGGACAGATAATGCTATTAGGTCCTCTGATTATAAGTAAGATGTCTGTTTGGACCTTAAAATAACTCAGTGAAAAGGGATATTTCGAAAATAAATACATGAGCAGCTTTTACACACCTATCCTGAGTAACTTAATATCAGGTTTCCAAGCTATATCCAACAGTCTGCGCTGACGGTCGATCTCTTCTTCGTAGTCGACGACCATTTTCTCAAAAACTCCGAATATTTCTTCAGCAGCAGCAGTTAGTCTCTCGTTAATAAACTCTCTTAAATACTGAACTGAAGACATTGTTGCAAAATTGCAAATTAAATTACATATGCTTGCGTTACGACTGTAAATATCCGCTTCCAGTTAAGAATACATCCACAGAGCTAACAGTGCTAGCGCCTGCTTTGTTTACTTCCGCTAGACGTCACACTCTTAACTTCCAGCAGCGGAAGTGACTTAATTTTTCGTTCCGCTTTCACTTAACGTTGTTTTTTTTCCTTTCGTATTACAGAAACAATGAATCCGTCGTAAACAGGTACATGAGTAATTATACAGACAGGCGAATAAACGTAAATAGAAAACACGTAGAAAAATAAAATATAAACAAACAAAATAAAACGAAACATGCCAGGGGTTACCATAAATACATAATAAAAAATAAAATATAAACAATAATTTAAGAAAAAAATATTAAACTGGAAGCACAGATCCAAAGTTTTAATAGCCGTCTTATTCTTTGCAGAGGATATTATTTTAAAATATAAACCCATTTCTTTTTTAAAAAACAATAAAGAGAGGTTTTGTACGGCTAACTTTACATTTATGAATGTAAAACTTGGCAATAAAAATAATAAGATTAATTACAAAATACTCTTTTTTGTACGAAAAAAAAACAAACAAACAAAACAAAAAGAATACATTTTCCAGTAAATGATCAAAGTTACAGATTATATTCTCCAACATAAATCCACAGATATCTTGCCACAGTTTACAGGTATGTATACATTTCCAGAACAGATGTTTCACTAAACGTTGTACATCCATCATGCTTCATTTCACAGCGAAATTGGGTTAGTTTTTCTCTGGACAATTAAACTGAACGGATTTCTTTTTTTATATTATTAAGTTTGATTATTGATTTTTTACATACAAGTTGACAACAGTTTTAAGTACTTGTGAATGACAGTGTGACATAATAGTGCAGAATGAAAGAAAACCAACCAGCAAACAAAAAAACTCCCCATTGTAACAGTGAACAATAAGCTTGCTCTTAAAGTCTAAGACAAAAGATATGGATACAAAAATTGACATCCGACATCATTTTAAATTTCCTGGGAAAGCCTTTCAATTTATATCGGACTCTCTCAAGCTGTAAATTACTGATAATCTCTTTTATCCATAAAGTGTGGGAAAGCGGTGTTGGTGATTTCCATCTCATTAATATTAGGTGTCAAGCCAATAATGTAACAAACACTACAAGATCTGCTCCAAGCTTCGGCAAAGGAGACTGAGAGATGCCAAACAGGGCTATAATGGCATTAGGAGCTGTAAATCTTGTACCTCTGACAAAGTGTTGGAAATTGCAGTCCCAGTAGTTATGCAGCGATGACCAAAACATATGTGCATGCATTACAGGTGTGTGATGACATTTTTAACTTAACAGATGTCTTGTGAAGTTATTTGAAACATACATTTGAAACATCTTATCAGGAGTGGAAGGACTTACTCAACACAGGGTAGTATAATTCACAATAACACCATGTACAATGTAACCAAATGTGTAAACAAATTTAGTAATTTAGTGGTTCCACTTAAAGCTTCTGGCTTCTGACTCCGGACCTCGCCTCAACGTCTTTGTTCAAAACTCGTCTTCTTCCCTCAAATGTAATATTAGTATTAGTATTCCCAATAATGTTACCAGATCAGAGGTGACATGTATTCACTACATGACTAGATATGAATGCTTTGGTATGTATAAATCTCACAGTATGTGGATAAGTTTTACACAAAACAGGCATTGCAAATTAGCTTAGGCTATAAATGCTGTGGTGTGTGGCATTTATGTATGCTACATACTTGTCCCTATACAAATAAACATTAAAATTAAAAACTAAAATAACCGTGCATTCATAAAGTTATTAAACGTGTCAAATTTATACAGCAAAAATGTATTTAAAAGTATGAAATGTTGAAGTACACCTGACAGTGTCACTCAGGCCTTGATGTGTAAACAGCATTTTTGTCAAAGCTAGTCAAGGTGGAGTGAATTTTTTTTCCCCTCGTTTACATGTTCATGGATATTTTACCTAGACATCATGTTCAGTAAGCTTATTTTGAAGTATTTGTGGGTAAAAATCAAGTCTCTCATAGCCAGACCTATCTGCACACTCGATTTACAGTGATACAACCATTAACCATGGCCTTTCACGTAAATGTAAAGCTTAAACTTGCCTGTACAAATGCAGTCAGACCTGCAAGTAACATAAAAGTAAGGTAATCAAAAAATACCTCCAAACTATTTTTTTAAACAAAGCTTTTAATGTTTGAATACACAAGATAAAAAAAATGCTGATCACTGCATTATTTATTTTATTTATAATGACCTACTGCAGACAAAAAAGAAAAGACTAGGAGTTTCTCAGCCTTAACATCTGAGATTTCACAATCTTTGCCAAGAGAGATGAATCTTTTCACTCAAATCTTTCAAACGTATGGTTTCTCACCAGTGTTTTCTGTCTTGTGGACTATCAAGTCCCTATTACATCCGAAACCTTTTCCACAGGTGCTGCATGAACATGGCGTCTGTCCCCTGTATGGACTCTTGCATGGTATTTCAATTGTGTTGTCCGACAGAATCTTTCCCCGCAGGTGTTGCAAGAATACGGCTTCTCACCTGTGTGGATTCTCGTGTGGACTCTCAGGTGACTGCTACATCTGAAATCTTTCCCGCATGTCTTGCAAGAATAAGGCTTCTCACCTGTGTGGACTCTTTTGTGAGCGTTCAGCGCTGACAGCTGAGTGAATCTTTTCCCACAGGTGTTGCAAGCATGTGGCCTCTCACCTGTGTGTGTTCTTATATGAGCCTTCAGTACTGATGGCTGCATGAATCTTTTTCCACAGGTGTTGCAAGGATATGGCTTCTCACCTGTGTGTCTTCGCAGGTGTAGCTGCAAAGCTGACCTACATGGGAAATCTTTCCCACATGTGTCACATTCGAGAGACATTTCACCTGTGTGTGTATTACTGTGAATTGTTGATACCGTAGGGATATATACAGTGTTCATGTGACTGTTGCTGTTGTGATTTTGTTGTGTTTGCTCTGCATTTCTAGTTGAACCTGAGTCTCTATGCTTGCCGTCTACCTGATGTCGACTCCCAGCTTCATGAGAGTTGTGAGAGAGGAGCTGGTGGTCACTGTCTGGTTCTGGGACCACATAGTTTTTAATAAGAATGTAGTTTATGAAGTTTTCCTCAACCACATTTAGAGATTCACTGATACTAACGTTGAGAGACTCATCTTCACTGTGGTCACTTTCTTCATAAGGAGGAATCAACATAAAGTCATCAGTCTCCTGCTTCACTTCAAGCTGCTCTCCCTCCTGACTGCTGCACAGTTCCTCCTCTTCCTCTTTAATCTCTGGAGGCTCTGGCTCCTCTTGGTCCACACTGGAGTTCCTCTCCTCAATAGAGAGCTGCTGCTCAGCGACAACCTCCTCCTCCTTACAGACATGTTGCTGTGGGAGCTCTGGAGGAACACACAACAAAAGGACCATACTACTTCATGCGAGCAAATTAAAACCAGTAAATATTTAAACACTTGTGATTATATGTAAGTTGAATTTATCAGTTTTGTCTTATTAAAATAAATACGTTTTACTCACCTATTCTGTGTAACTTTATTTCCGGTTTCCAAGCTATATCCAACAGTCTGCGCTGACGGTCGATCTCTTCTTCGTACTCGACGATAGTTTTCTCTAAAACTCCGAATATTTCTTCAACAGCAGCAGTTAGTCTCTCGTTGATAAACCCTCTCAAATAATAAACCAAAGTCATTGTTGTTAGATTATAAATTAATTATCTGCGGCGCGCCTAAAACACCTTATTCCAGCTCATGCTACACATCCACTGAGCTCACGCTATTAGCGCCTGTTTGTTTACTTCCGCTAAGTGTCACACTGTTAAGTTCCGGCACCGGAAGTGAGTTAACCGTTAGCTACGTTCCTCCGCATTAACTCAACATAATTGATGTCTTTTCGAGTAATTGAAGAAACATTTTTTTTAAAATAAATACACATTAGCAGAGGTGGAAGGACTTAATAAGGATATGTTAAAGTAGCAAAGACGGTGCTAAAATACCCATGCATTCAAATTGTTGGTAAATGCGTCAAATTAATGTTAAAAATGTAATTCTCAAGTATTACACGTAAATGCAAAATGGCCCCAGTCAGTGGTACGGAGGCCATAATGTGTAAATATCATTTTTGTAGCAGCTAGTCGAGTTGGAGCTCATTATTTTTTTGCCTGGTTCACTTCAAAGAGGTATTTTTTTAAAAAGCTCATAAGTTTTGGTGTGTAAAAATCTAGTCTCCTCTATCTCCACACGTTGTTTTAGGGCTGTGTAGGAACAATCTTAATCAATGAATTAAACATAGCTGTCAAGTTAACACCCTGAAAAGTACATCTGCCTTCAAAAATGCAGTAAAGTACCAGATGGAACAGAAGGTACACCTTGAGACTCCAAAAAGAAATATTTATTAAAAGATGGGGCCCTGCTATTGCCTTGCTAACCTAGTGAAGTCATCGAAATCTGCCTTACATATTTTACAGTGTATGTATCTTTATCTTCCCTACCTGACTCACCTCTTGTTGCATAGACATACACTCATGCCATTACATACACACACACACACACACAGCTCCCCTCCCCAACCTTTACCTTTTTTGTCTTTTTTGTCCAACATTCCTTTTCCCTAAGTTAACCCTTTTATTTTATTTCAAAATAAATACTTTAAGCTGGGATGTTTTTGTGTTTAGCCATAAAGTCACAGCTGTAAAAACTAAAAATAAAAACAGCATGGAAATTCTGAAAATGACAGTTTTTATTTAAATTCCAGCAACTTATACAAAGTTTAAAAAAAATTCAGTAAAGGAGAACTATATGTAGAGTGAAAGTAAAGCTATCAAAGAATACCTCAAACCTGCTGTCTTTTGTTTTTACTTTCATTTTCCTTATTATTACTTGTTTTAGAACTGTTCAGGGTGTGGAATGAATGTAAATGCAATCTTGGCCATATGAAGACATGAATACAGTACTTGAGCAGCCAACATGTTGTCACAATCCTCCACAGCATGCTTGTTCAATACTGATCAAATTAACAAACAGTATTAAATTATACCTTAACTTTACCTCCAGTCGGTGAGCTGCAACATTAAAACATTTCTTGCATGTAATAACTTAACATTCAGAAAAGAAGTATTATTCACAGTGACTACCTTTACTTTTGATGTACGTAAGTAACACACATCATCTACAGTGTTTTTGTTGTATTGCAATTGCAATTACAAAGATACAAAAATTTGACATTAAATGACGTATTTCAAAAAAAGATAAGACTCCAATTATGTGTCTCCTCACTTCTGTCAGGTCTCCTGTGTCAGGTATGTTTTGACCATGAAACATGAACACTTAATTGTCTCACATATTTTTGCAGAAGCAGAGCTACTTGCCTGTGTGCAGTCTTACATGTTTTGTTAAACAAGAAGCCTCATAGTATCTTTTCCCACAGATCTTTCAAAGGTACGGTTTCTCACCAGTGTGGGCTTTTCTCTTGTGGACTAACAAGTTACTATTACGTCCGAAATCTTTTCCACAGGTGTCGCAAGAATATGGCTTCTCACCTGTGTGAATTCTTATGTGGCTAATCAAGTGACCAATGACTCTGAAATGTTTCCCACATGTTTTGCAAGAAAACGGCTTCTCCCCTGTGTGGACTCTAATATGAGCATTCAGTCCTGACGCCTGTGTGAATCTTTTCCCACAGGTGCTACAACAGTATGGTTTCTCACCAGTGTGCGTTCTCACATGCACTATCAGCTCACTTTTGCTTACAAAATCTTTCCCACATGTTTTGCAACAATACGGCTTCTCACCTGTGTGTATTCTTATATGAGCCTTTAATGCTGATGTCTGCATGAATCTTTTCCCACAGGTGTTGCAAGAATATGGCTTCTCCCCTGTGTGTGTTCTCAGGTGTCTCTGCAAATATGAGTTATACTTAAAAACTTTCCCACACGTGTCACATTTTACAGGCTTTTGAACTGTGTGAGTATCACAGTGAATCATTAGCATATAAGGGTTATAAGCACTGTTAGTGTGACTGTTGCTGTTGTTATTTGGTTCTGTTTGCTCTGCATTTCTAGTTGAACCTGAGTCTCCATGCTTGTCTCCTTTCTGATCTTGGCTCTCAGCTTCATGAGAGAGGAGCTGGTGGTCACTGTCAGGTTCTGGGACAACATAACTTTTATCTGAAATGTACTATAGAGGCATTTCCTCCACCATATTCTGAGTTTCAGTGATACTCCAGTTCACAGTCTGATCATCACTGTGCTCACTTTCCTCATTAGTAGGAGTCAACATAAAGTCATCAGTCTCCTGCTTCACTTCAAGCTGCTCTCCCTCCTGACTGCTGCACAGTTCCTCCTCTTCCTCTTTAATCTGTGGAGGCTCTGACTCTTCGCTGGAGTTCCTCTCCTGAACACAGAGCTGCTGGTCAGCGACAGCCTCCTCCTGCTGACAGACATGTTGCTGTGGGGGCTCTGGAGAGACAGAGAACAAAAAATGGGATACTACTGTAATGGTAAAGAAGAAAATATGGACAACACTACAGTCATTTGGCTGATCACTAGTGGGGTAGAGACATCATACAGAAGACCAGTGGCAGAACTGGTGGCCTGGTGTCAGGAAAATGATCTCTCCCTAAATGCAGATAAGACCAAGGAGATCCGAGGAGAAGGGAAGGGCAGCACATGCCACTACACATCGGTGAGACAGAAGTAGAGAGGGTGAAAACCCTTTAAATTTCTTGGCACCCACATCAGCGAGATGCCCACCTGGTCTCACAACACATGATAGATTACCAAGAAATCCCAGCAGCGGTTGTATTTCTTAAGAAAGCTGAGGAAATCTGGCATGCCAACCAATATCCTAAGCAACTTTTTACCCTCACCAGTTCAGTCACAGTCTGGTATGGAAACTGCACTGCTCAGGAAAGCTCTCCAGTGTGTGATAAAAGCTGCACAACTCATTTCAGGAGCACCCCTCCTGTCCATTCAGAAAGTGTCTACATCACCAGGGTCATCAGGGGGGCCACCGCATCATCAAGGGCAGTACACACCCCAACTGCTCTTCACACTTCTGCCATCAGGCAAATGTGACAGGAGTGTGAAATCCAGGACAACAAGACTGACCAACAGCTTCTAGCCACAGGCTGCCGAATAACAGCATCAAACACACTTCCTGAGACCCTGTGTCCTCATATGAGGACATCACATTTTAAGTTAACTTGACCATATACTTCATTCTACTTAACTGACCTGTTGTCCTCATTCATGGACTTCTGTATGCTACCTAGTGGTAGTAGGGCCAAACTACACTAATCCATGTTAGAACAAGATGGCAGACATCTCTGCTAAGTCAGCCTGCAGCCGATCCCGACACAAAAGTGGACAAGGTCCAAAACCTGATCACATTTTAAGGTTGAAACTTGTTTATTTAAGATGAATAACTTTTGTAGTATGGTATGGCAACAAATTTGACCAATGTTAGCGACAGTATCAAGCTAAGACACTGTTAATTTGGAAGTATTTGTTTGAAGACATTGGGACTTCATTATCGTCTCCTTTGAGGACACTAGGTATTACAAATTATTAGGGCTGCAACCAACAATTTCATTGTCGAATAATCTGTCGATTATTTCTTTGATAAGTTGACAAATCATTTTATCAAAAAATGTATTAAAGAGTTGAAAATTGTCGGTCTGTCGCTCCCAAACCCCAAAATTATTTCATCTAATGTCTTGTTTTGTACTCACGCCAAAGGGTTTTAGTTCACTGTCATGGGGGAGTGTGTAAAACTGCCAATATTTGAACGTAAGAAGCTGCAATAAGAGTATTTTGAGGTACTTTTATTGTATTTTTCTATGAAAAAAAGACTCAAACCAATTAGTCAACTACTAACATAGTCACCGATAATTTCAATAGTCGATTAGTCATCGATTAGTCGACTAATCGTTGGAGCCCTACTAAATACTGGTGATAATGTTTAGTTTTTTATCCTAGCTATATTGGGATGCTGATCCCAATATAGCTAGGAGAAACTGACAATGCATACCAAACAAAAGTTTGGATCTAAGGAGGTTAAACTCGGGCTTTTAATTAAGTTCTTCGTTTCTGCTTATGTATTTATTAATGTTCTTATAATCTAACTTTAATTCTAGTTTTACTGTTGTTTTTTCGTGGAGGGAGACTGGCAGCTAAGAATGTCATTGTATAGTGTTACCCGCTGAGTTTTAACTGTGCATATGAAAAATAACTTCTCTGTTTTGTGTTATTAAAATAATTAAGTTTTACTCACCTATCCTGAGTAACTTTATTTCTGGTTTCCGAACAATATCCAACAGTCTGCGCTGACGGTCGATCTCTTCTTCGTACTCGACGATAGTTTTTGTAAAAACTCCGAATATTTCTTCAGCAGCAGCAGTTAGTCTGTCGTTGATAAACCCTCTTAAATACTGAACTGAGGACATTGTTGCTAAATTATGAATTAATTATCTGCGTGACAACTAAAATATTCTCTTCCATAACTCTGCACATCCACAGAACTAACGCTCAAGCGTCTGTTTTGTTTACTTCCGGTGATTGTCACACTATTAAGTTCCGGCAGCGGAAGTGAGCTAACTTTTCGTTCCGCTTTAAATTAGGGTTGTACAATCGTCTGGTTTCATTTCACAGTGAAATTAGGTTATTTTCTCAACATTACTACATTTCTGACGAGTGGTTGAGTTATTTCAAAGAAAGTATATTTAAAAAGTCGCCCATACATTCCAATTTGTAGTAAACATGTGAAATTAATATTGTAAAAATTCAATG